GAGATCAATAGTAATAACAGTTTATAAAATCCCCCAAAGCAAAGTGAACATGTGGGTGAGACATCTTCACAGAGTAATAATGGAAAATGAAATATATTTTAGGCCTATTGGAAGAACCAGATGTTGCAAATTACCTAAAATTATCTTGTGGCTTGCAAAACTCTCAACTCTCTGTCTACCGCAGAGCAGGTACTATAGTAAAAAGGCCCTATTCTTTGTTGCTTCTTGCCTAACTTCAAATGGCCAAGGAATCCAGAGAAGATTAATGGGACCAGTGGGAGATAGACAGTTCAGACAATCATCCCACCAGTTTAATTTGTCTCCCATGTGTTTGTGGAAGGTATGTTTCAAATGCTACGTTTTGTGAACCTTTCCACCTCCATTTCTCTCCTCTTTCACCTTTTAGAATAGGTTGTACTTTTTATTATGTAATTTTTTTATTTGCTTAATGGAAGAGCAAGGTACTTATGTGAAAAACCATGGAAGTAAAAACACTAACATTTTAAGGGAAGCTTGATAATGTCCTAATAACTTAGCAATAACAGAGAGGGTTCCTTGTAGTGTTTACTGATATTGCTGTCTTCAGGAATGTCAGTTAGTGATATTGATGCCAACAACAATTTTCTACATTTGAAATGCTTGATAAAATGTATTGTCAATTATGCAAGCATTTTCTCCCAAGATTTGATCCTGTGCCCTGCAATAAACCATAAATCAGTTAGAAAATGCAAAGAACCAAAGAAGACAAAAGTATGCCAAGAACTACACTGAGTAGCAGAGTGTATTTTTAATGCTAAATTTCAGCCCTGAAATGTAATTATGAAGGAATAAGAGCACATCTAATGTGGATTGCTGCCTTCATCCTATCACTGAGTAATCATATCCAGTTCCTGGGACTGACATGACATTCTGGATGACCTATATTCCCATGTACTAATGGGCATTTTCTTTGAGGTTGTAGCTGTTACTTCAAGACTAATTATCTCCTTCTCTGTCCATGATGATCTGCATAAAACTGCATACCGCTATCAAAGGACTTGCTTTAGATACCTCGTAATTATTTATAAAGGCTGGTGGTGGTGGTGACGGGGTATGTATGTTTGAAAGGGGTCCATTAGGATGGCCAGAGTTTGGAGCTCATTCTGCTTTGTGTTTGGTTGCACATTTAATAATAAGAAAAGATGGGATAATGTCAAAAGAGATCTACCAGTTGGATTTCCAGTGAGGCTAGCGAACTGACGCCCCATGCTTCCCAGGAGACATTGCAGCTGAAAGGCAGCTGAATGTGGATTCAGATTGCCCATAATTCTCTCTGGATAAGAGAGATATCTTGAAATTACTCTCATGCATTCCAGGCAGCTGGGTTTTTTTGTGAGTCGGCAGCAGACCCCAATGTTTTTGCAGCCACTTGTGATCAGCTGGGGATCATGGGTTTCACCATGCTCTGAGCCGTTAATGTAGTCTTTTAAGGACTTAAAGTTCATCTAAACTTCATCTTTTTAATCACCCTGGAGTTTAATTTTTTTCTTACTGCATCTTTAAGATTGAAAAACCTTTGGAACCACAAGTTGGGTATTTGCTGGCTGAGTGTCTCTTCAATCTATTTAAAAAGAAAGGAAATTATGTGTTTCCAGCTTTGTAAGATCTTTATTTTTTGCAATATATAACATAAGGGGGACTATAATGTTTTTTGAAAATTTTGAATGCTAAGGATTTGGATGTAATTGAATTAAAGAAAGACTTTGAAGTTAATTGAAAAGACCCTCTTGTATGGGGGGGAAAAATCATGTTATGAAATTTATAATATAAATTTATAAATAAATTTATATTTTGCCCTGATAACAAAGCTTTGACTGTTAATCAAAAGACAGCACCAGATGGCTACTTTAAAAGAAACATTTTATAAGCTGGCTCAAAAAATGCTTTGACTATTTAACCCTATATTGGAACCAGAAGTTGCTATTGAAGAGAACCAAGTTCCTTGGAAGATAACTGAAATGGATTTCAAGGTGGACTTAAAAATTATAACCTATAAGAAAGAGATAGAAATATTGGATTTACAAATGGAATTGGATGTTCATTGAAAATTTAAAAAGGTATACAAATAATGTATCAAAAGAGGGATGTGGATTACCCGTTTAAATTGGAATATAAGAGACTTACAGGAGTGGCTACATTGAAATTACATATAGGCTTTGATAAAGATGACAAGGATTTTGAGAGAAGAGACAAGGATAATAGAAGACAGATGTTAGAACTTTATATATGGGATTCAAGGATTGATGGAAAGAAGAAGAAAAAATACAAAATTGTTTTATTTGATTATGATTGGGTTGTTATTTTTTGGTGATTTTTAATGGTTACTTTGATTGGATAACTCTTTTTTGGAAATGTCCAATTGGGTGTAATGGATTAAATCGTAATATCTATGTTACATTTTTGGTATAAAATAAGGAATTATTATTTTTGGTAATGTTTAACAGTTTTTATTTTTCTGTAATGTTTAATTGTTAATTGGGATAATAATGGGTTGCTATCTCTGGTGATGATTAAGGGTTACTCTTTTTAAATTTTTGTAATGTTTAATTGTTAATTAGGATTAGATTTTTATTATTAAGAGAGGGATTAGGGGGATTATGTTTAAATGGAAAGGGGGACTAAATACCTATGTTGCCAGTTATGTCTGTTAACTATTAACTTTACACCTTTTGTTGATTAATAAGGAGAGCTGAGGATTTAGATATGGGTCTATAGAAAATAGGGCGAAGTATGGAATGAAGATGTATTTGGTAATATTTTAAGAGTCAGTAATAAGTTGTTAATGTTGTATATACTTGCTGGGGATGAAGGGAGAAGTTTT